ATGACCTCCACAGACAATGGAAAGTCTGTGAAAAGTTTATCAAAACGTGTGGTCAAAGATTAACCTCGCCATTCTTAATAGCTTTTTTTAAACAAGAACTGCAATGTCAAACAATGGCACGTAATCTTGGACATCAGAATGAGCACGACCAATGATACCAAAATTAGATCCAAGGCAGTACGAAACCTGGAACGTTCTTCTTTATAAGTGTAATTCACTCTCAATATCGGAATTATAGTTTTATGTTGACAGATAATTTGATATTACGAATTAAAATAAAATTGCTTTATTATTCACAAAGTAAAAAAAAAACAACTAAAAAATTAGAGTTTATATTTGGTTATTTTAATTTTTAATTTAGATTTGTTTATTACGAGATAAAAAAATCTAGTTTCAGTTACTTAGGAATGATTTAAATTGTATTTTCTTATTATTATTAACAGTAAAGTTAATCTGGGCAGGTTATCGTAGACCCGGAAAATATATCTTGAAGGGTTTAAAGTTCAATTGGAAATTCATCCATCACTGCGTACAGATCAGAGCTTTGCAGGAAAGCCCTACGGCGTACGAGGCAGTCACTTGGACTCTGATGTCAGGCAGGAAGACTTATTATATAGTCTAGTCACAACGTTCTACACTACAGAGAGACTAATAATGATTGCTACAACTATGATAGACAGAAAAGAAAGACTAGAAAATGCAATGGATAATAAAGATAATAATTTATCTCCCTTCTCTAAAAGTTTTCTATGATGTAGTATTTGGTTTTGGTTTGCTATCTAGATACCCATTATAAATAGTGATTGGTTAAACTGTTTAAATAATAATTCCTATAATTTACGTTATGGTGTATTTAAGAAAATAAGACATAAGGCATACATGAACAAACCGAGCTACATATGCTACAACAGATATATGTATGCTACGATAAATACCATTTTATTGCTATCACAGATATCCTCTGTGTGTGTGTTACGACAGATGTCTTATGTTTTTTATGACTAACACCATTTGCATGTCTATATCTCAAATGTTCATTATGATAAAAAAAATCACATATGCGTTATGACAGAAACCGTTTACGTAAAAGTTATCGCAAATATCATTTATACATAATACATAATTTATGTACGTTACTATAGATACCACGAGTGTGTTATGACAGAAACTGTTTGCGTATAAGTTATCGCAAATATCATGTATACATTATAACTTTAAGTATGTTACTATAGATACCACGAGTGTGTTATGCCAAACATCATAACTCTCAGTTGGTTGAATTTCATACAAAGCTCCTTGACGGTTATCTGCTTTAGCTTTCCCCAGACGTCAACACAACCTACCTTTGGTGACGGGTTTCGAGCCCGCGACCCGCAGTTTGCGAGTCAAGCGCCCTAACCAAGCCATGCCTGTGTCATGACAGATATTACAAGTATGTGTTATGTTACTACTAAAGTGTCATTTACGTTTCACTGACTTATCTCATTTTGAGTAGTTTTAAAACAAACATTGATATGTATAGCAGAAAATGATTTCTAAAGCAGCGAGACATATTATACAAAATAGTTTGTGGCCATATTGGTTTCAGTCTGTATCTACGAAGATTATTCTTTAAAACTGAGCAGTCAGAATTTATAACAATCAAAATATAACGTGCTTATTAGGTTTGTCACGAGAAAGTCTATGACACTAAGTAGAAGTACATCTGGAACACCCTGTAATCTTCAACGAATAACAAACACCCACAGTAACAGTTAGAGGGATGGTTGATTAAATATAGTTTCTATCAGTCTTGTATTGTTAGTTATTGTTCTAATGTAGATGGCGTTCCAAAGTAAATCCTTTAAGGAGATCGCCTGTGATTTTGATCCAAATTGTCTTTTCTAACGAAGAACACTCAAGACCAATAAACGTTTTCTAGCTTTAGCCTGAAACTTTAATTTTAACTAACAAATGCTATTTCCCGTGCTGTTATTTTTAAGAAAACAAATCCATTAAAATATTTTTCATGAATTGTATTGTTTCAATATAAAAGGCACTTAAAAAATTGCTTTAAGAGAATTCAATCTGGCCCGAGTTTACTAAATCCAAACATAGAAAACCTGTATTATTATTATTACAAAAGTAGAATATTGCATATAAGCAAATTGAAAATTATACTAATTCATAAAAATACAAAGTTATTTGGTATTTTCAAGTTGAATGCACTTTATGTGCAATGTAGGTTAAACGGCCAGGTAAAGCATCCCAAAGTTCAGGCATAGCCGTCCCTAATTTCGAACAGCTAACCAAAGGGAGGGAGACCAGTCAGCAGCACGGGTCCCTTAACACGCTACTCTTAACCGAATAGTTGCATTGATTGTCACTTTTATAACGCGCTAACATCTGAAAGTGTGGAACGTATTCAGTTACATATCGTGCCTCGAATCTGGAATCTTCCAGTATACTAACTACTAGGCCACGCCCGGACTAAAATACAAAAAAAATGTATTAAAATAAAGAAGAATGTAACTTCTGTAGCCGTAAAGTATGTATTTGTTGTTAAGACTGAACAAAATATAACTTATGAAAAATAAATCGGTTTCTAAAGTTTCATGTTTTATTGATTTTTTTGATCGAGGCAAAATCCTATATAGGAAAATGTTATTCGTAACATAGAAAGAAACCCAAGTGCTTAACCTTAACATACTTCATCAGAGCAGCTTAAAAGTTTTACGAAACATCTGTTACCATTCAACAAGAAGATCAAATTTCTCATTCTTCGCAAACACGATTTGTCAAAGAAACACTAGTGTCCAAATTTGCCAGTTCTTCAATTAAGATAGAAATATCAAATCCATCAGTTAATTTCCTTTGAGTGAACAATGCAGAATAGCATTACTGATTAGTCTTGTGAAATGGTTAACAAAAAAAAAGCTACTCAGTCACGTGCTAATATAACTCCTTAAAAAGTCCTTCACGACTTATTGGCGTAAAGAGAGTTCGTCTGAGAATGGAATTAACGGAGAAAGATTTCTAATAAACGGAAAGTGCTTGGCGCTCGCCGTGAACATAGGTTTAGAAAGGCTAGTTTTCACGTTGTTCTACATTTAGAATCTCTGTTATACCCACACTGCGCCTTAGTTTTGTGATTTTATTCTTAATCAATACATCATATGTTAGCCACTTTATCCCCTGGAGAGCGTGACTGTCAATATTCATCATGGTACACCTTGTGTATTTGGCAGCTCTGTTTTTTAAGTGTGAGCAGGTGTCTTTGTAGAAGAAAAATCCAAATTTTGTTTGTTAAAGAATTTCCGCGCAAAATTACACGAAGAGCTACTGCGCATAGCCGTCGCTAATTTTGAACTGATAAATATAAACTAGAGAGAAGGTAGCTAATCAATAGCACCCACCACAAACTCTTGAGACACTCTTGCCTAGCCGAATAGTGGGATTTGACTCTCACTCTTTTAGAGCATCCATAATCTCATTGTGCGGAGCGCGTTTTTGCGGCAATGGACCACGAACCCACAGATTCAAGCTTGACCAATAATGGATTCGAAGGAACGTATATAAGATATACAGACTATTTGTTATCTAAATGTAGTCTTAGATATACGTGAAGGAAATTAAAGTCTATTTTCAACATGAACGAGACTTGTAAATCAGGCAGCTCAAGATTCAGGCACAACCATTACTAATTTATAACCGCTAGTCAGAAAGAAGGCAACCAATCAGTATCTGTCTTCTCCTATTATGAGACTACTGTTAACCAATGAGATTACTCTTAACCAATAACGGGATTTATTGTAACAGTTCTAACTCACAACTGAAAGTGCGAGACGTGTTCATTGGCATATCGCATGCTCGAATCTCGGACTTCCGATCTGCAGCCCAATACCTTTGAAAATTAAAACTGTTTGTTGAGAAAACAACTAAACCAAGATAAGTTACAATTATCCTTTCAATAGACTTTTTATCCTTACTTAGCTGTTTTAGGATAATAATTAATCGAGGTCAGATTTGTGAAGTTGTTTTAAAATTCGAGATTTCATGAAAGTATTGTTGTTTTGGCAACAGTTTAGCAAAAAATTACTTTAGTTAATAAAACTACCAAGCACAATTCTTTTCATTAAGAAATACATTAAAACAAATAATAACAACAAATCTAAGAAATATTTAGGGTACGTCACTTAATTAAAATTGTAATATCGTAACTTTGAGAGTATAAAAAATAAAAATGTAATCTAGTAAGGTTTTAAAAAAATATTTGAAACCAAAATAAAAAGATAACTTGAAGGATGTAAAAATATAGAATCATCGAAGTTACTCTTCGGAAGAGATGAGAACATTTTACTACATGTTAAGTGTAGGGATGATACAGTTCTACTTTCAAAAGATTACGTAACACTACATCACAAGTAAATAAATATATTGTTTTCATGGTAGCTTCACATTACAACATACATAGGTAGTGACGAAAAGAAAACCAACAATGCAAGTAATTAGGCCTAAAATCATGTTAACTGCAATTTTTATTCAGATTCCTCATAATTTTTTTATTGCGGAATAAACATTACAGGTGTATGTGTGTAAGATTAGCATTTGAGATTTATCTTTTGTCTCCTATAAGTCATTACCCAAAAGGCCTTTCGTTTAATACCAGAACTCGTCAGATGGGCTAGAGGATGAAAGGGAAAAGATTCTTCGCAAGTGATAAAATAAACGTTAAGTGGAAGATATTATCACAACTTTTAGGCCTATTTGTTTCTAACGCATCGGCAGCAACGTTTAATCTGTTATTCTGCATATATAAATATCGAAGTACTTAGGCTTATTGGTTTTTAATGCTTCGCCATCTTTCGGAATTTAAACCGTTATACAAGCACTTTTCCGCCAGAGTGACGTCATAAACTAAAAACCATGTTTATATTTATTCTGTCTTCTCATTTCAGCTTCAAGTCCTCTAGTGATTAAAGAAAACAACATAGAAAAGTAAGGATACCTAAACATTAACTATGTGGTCAACCTCGCCTTTAGCCGCCGCTGCTCGTGGATACCTCAACGGGACCTTTAGAAACCTGGACATGTGGGAGACGACAGCAGCCCGAAGTTCTGCATTGATCAGAAATTCTCATCAACAGCTGTTAAAGGCTAAGACTGGCATTAACTTTAACACCTTCAGTAATTCTTCCGAGACCGCTTTGTTGAACTACACGTTTAAAAATGAGCTACCGCTGTATTCAAATTCTAACAATGAGACGTCTGTGCCTGTTGATATCTCTACATCGCCTTATACTCTGTGGCTAACTATTGTTATTGCTGTTTCTATCGGACTTTGTATCATTCTGACTTTAGGTGGAAATATACTAGTGCTTCTGGCGTTTGTTGTTGAGCGAACTATTCGCCAGCCTAGCAATTATTTCATCGTTTCCTTGGCTGTTTCAGATCTTCTCATTGGTGTAGTATCCATGCCCTTTTATGCTGTGTACGTTCTTGTTGGACGCTGGGACCTAGGACCCATCCCTTGTGATTTGTGGCTAGCGACTGACCACACTGTATGTCTGGTGTCCATCTACACCGTCCTTTTAATCACCATTGATCGCTATTGCTCTGTAAAGATCGCAGCGAAGTATCGCGGCTGGCGAACTAGGGAAAAAGTTATATGGATGGTAGCTATAACCTGGATTATTCCCTTTCTTGTGTTTTTTATTAGTATTATGGGATGGGAACATTTTATTGGATATAGAGATCTCGCACCTGGTGAGTGCGCTGTACAATTTTTAAAAGATCCTGTTTTCAATACTTCCTTGATAATAGGATACTTCTACGTAACTATGGTAATCCTCTTCGTACTCTATACAGGAATATATAAGACAGCTAGTGACATGCAGAAGAAGTCTGCAGCTAAGCAGAAAAAATTACAGTCACTAGTTGCATTGAGTAGTCTTTCAAAAGGAAATTCAAGCACCGTAAGTACGTCTAAAGAACAAGCCACTCTCGCAAATCAACAGAAAGAGATTTCTAAAGTGAACAACAACCATGACGAAGCGAATCAAGTGGCGTTAGGTGGAGGAGATGGAGAGGAAGACTATTGCAGTAGCCCAGCATTTGACTCAGATGACGACAGCTGTGAAAAATCAGCCAAACGGTTCCGACACAAAAAACGTAAGGCAAAACATCATCCGAAATCCGAGCGTATGCCAAAGAAGGATGTCGACAGTAATGCCACTATTAAACCACAAGTTATAGACAAAACAGCCTTAACGCTTGACCTTTCAGTTAAGACTTCTAGGAATAAAATTGATACAAGAGATGAAATAGACGATAATACATCTGCTTCCAACACACCAAATGAAGACTCGGTGAGAAAGAAAACTGCCAAACATGCGTCGCTTAATTCAAATGAAACAAGAAGCCTAAAGCATTCAAACGAATCTCTATCAACAGAAGTCTCGAGCAAAAATTCGGACAAAGCGGTTAACACTGACCCCGTAGTGTTTTTAAATGAAGCGTTGACCCTCCCTTTTCGGAAGAAAAATAATTTGATTAGACTACAAGTAGAACGTATTTCTGAAACGCAGACTATAACACGTGTCGCCAAGAAAGAAGAACTTCAACCAATCATTGATTACGATCAGACGAACGCTACTTCCAATTCTTCCTACAAAGATTATTCCACAATGAACACAAGAAAAGCTTTCGTCAAGACTCTGGGACAAAAAATGAAGAAGACAAGAAGAAAATCAACCGAGAAAAGACAAAAATCAAAATCCGAAAACAGGGCGAGAAAAGCACTTCGAACCATTTCTTTTATTTTAGGAGCATTTGTTCTTTGTTGGACTCCCTACCACATTTGTGCTTTGGTTGAAGGATTTTGTTCGAATCCAAGTGGTTGTGTAAACTATCATTTGTTTTACTTGACATACTTTCTATGCTACGCAAACAGTCCCGTCAATCCATTCTGTTATGCAATGGCTAATCAGCAGTTCAAAAAAGCATTTTATCGTATCCTTAAGGGAGACTTTCACAGAACGTAATTTAACTTTAGAAGTCGACAACATATTTCAGTTAGCTAAAACAGTGTGTTACTTACGTGAAGTTGTGTTTGCTATCATGTGTTGTAATATGTCATTAATGAATAATTCTTCAAAAATATCCCTCATTGTTCAAAAGTGTCACCTACGTGAGGAGAGAAACTGAATAATTTGGCCTTAATTATTACAAACTCAAGAAGCTGACGAATAACCCACTTTATACTTCCTAGTGAGTTTGAGTGGCAGGCAAACTGAGAAGCGGGTCTTGCAGTTATGATTTCAATCAGAAAGTTGTGAAGTCTGGCATGGCCTGGTGGTTCGGGTACTCAACTCGCAATCCGCGACTCGAATCTCTTTAACGAATATGCTTGCTTGTTCAGCTGTGGGGGTGTTATATTGTGACGGTCAATCTCACTATTCGTTGGTAAGGAATAGTTCAAGAGTTAATGGGGGATGGTGTTTACTAGTTTCATTCCCTCTAGTCGACCACTTCAAAATTAGGAACGGCTAGCACAGATAACCCTCGAGTAGCTATGCGTGAAATTAAACAAACAAACAGAAGTTTGTAGTGTATGCTTATTTCTGGTGAGATTACAAGGATGACTTCTGAAATTCCTCAAGTTTTGATTGTAAAACACTTATATTAATCAGCTTTATAGCTTTGTAAACAAAAATGAAAGAGTAAAGACACTTAGTTCGATAAATCAACAAAAGCTACAAACAGGGATATATATATATTATGAGACTTTATGTGAAAACTGTAGCTAAGAGGAACATACTCAAGCAACAAGGCTAGAAGAGTTTTTAACACCAGACAAAATACAGACTCTCCTCCTTCCTAATAGGAAAAAACCTGTCGCATATGATCGTCAGTGAGCAGTCCATATAGCATTGCGCCGTCTGTTAATTTTTAATCACCAAATACGAACGGTCGACAGCAGCCTGCTGTTTTTTTTTACCTTAATAATCATTATTTTTTTCACACTAAGGTCTGCAAATCAAAGGAGATCAAGATTGCTAATCGCTGCTCTCGACTCTATAGCAACAGCAAAAAAACTGTGCATAAATCATTTTGAAAGTTACTCCACTTTATGGAGTAACTTTTCCCTTCGTTTTTCAGTGGAAAAAGACCATCGGTAGTATTGTGTAATAATTTATTTTAGAAGGTTATAAAACACAAAAAGGACATATACATATATATATATATATTAATTTTTCGATTCTCTCATTATGTGTTTTTTCTTTCAAGAGTCAAAAATAAACGGAACGAGACAATTTTTAGACAAGACTAAAATAAATGTGTTATATCCCAAGGGTTACACTATTCAGATACCTCGCGATGGTATATCTCGTTCGTAAAGCAAGGTATTCAGATATTTCATGATGACATATATCTCATTCGTAAAAAAGAGGTAAAAGATGGGTATTGCCCGTGTAAAAACGGGATGGATTGTAAGTTATAAGATTTCTTATTGTAACTTATTAATTATTTAGTAAATGAAGAGATATAAAAGTTATATACCCAAAGAAGAACATTTTCTTCCCTGTTAAAAACAGTTTTCCGGATTGTAAATAGATATAATTCATGCATGCTTGTAATCATTTGTATAAAAGCTAAGCCTAAGTATGGTAGTTCAGAATAATGTTTATATTTTGTTGTGTTTTATACATTAATGAGACTAAAACTGTTATCTAGTAACTGTGTAGTAACTTTCTGTGTTAACCAGTGTAATATTGTTAGTAGTTCAGTGAAGGTGTATGAAGAATGTGTATTCTCTTCAAGTGTATTATTTCTCCTCTAGCTATATTCATCCAAAGATGAATTTAATTTACCCTTGTATAAATATTTACATGTTCATAGAATTAGGAACGATGTTTACTTAGTGTACGCGACTGGTCATAGTTTTCAAAGAATAACCCGAGGCTTTAATAAAGCAGCAATGTCCGACTCTTTTTCTGGTCTTTGACACCGGTTATTATAGATCGCCTGTTTTGAATTCCTCGTCGTTTATTTATAGAAGCGCATGAAATATGACTTGGATATGTGGATGCTAAAGTCTTATAAAACAGTTTCACGACAACAACTGAACACAAAATGCAGGTGATGTGAAAGGAATGACGATGGTGTTTGCTTCGTGAACACTTTGATTTTTCTGTTTATTGGGTATTCTTGTGGATACACTACGTGCTAAACGACATAGGAGAAGGAAGGAAACACAAGGTAGATAGATTCAGGCCTTTGATTTCACAAACTTGTGCTCTGACGGTGAAATTCACGAGGATATTGAAAAAACTGAAGGAATTTTTGAATAATTTTCTGAGGTCTTTTGCCATTGTTTTTTTTTTTTA